TGCCTGCTTCAGAGAGCTTGTCTTCTTGTGGGGAGAGTGAGACAAGACACACGCATCCATGCACACAGACACGCAGGCATACCTACGGGCATTTACAAATCGCAGATGTGACAAGTACAGACCTACCTAAGGCAGCGGAGAAGACATCTCCGAAGGGGTGACATTTAGGTAGAGCCCTGAAAGACATAAAGGGGGCGTCATAGTGAACGGCCAGGACAAGGCCTTGAGGCAGGAAAAAGCCTACCGTATCCTGGGTACTCGTGGAACAGCTAGCGTGAGTAAGGAGCAAAGAGGCAATAATGGAACTGAGGAGGTGGGAAGCCACGATGAGAGGGAGTCGGCATTTCGTTCTGCCGGGAAAAGAACAAATCGGCCTGAACAAGGAAAGTTTGGAGGAAGTCCTAATGGCGGTCGAGGGGGCTGAATGGAGACGGGGGAGGTTGCCAAGAAGGCAACTGAAATTTCTAGAAGCATTTTAAGTTGTTTTTGTGTCAGTATTCAAATCCATTCAGTGAACTACTTACTTAAGTTACTCGTGTACATTTAAACCTCCCATCTTGATTGTGCCCACTGTGGCAGTAAAGCTTGAATATCATATACAGATAAGTGCATGATAGTTATCTGGAAGGCGAAATGGAGGTCTCGAGCTAACTCAGCCTGTGGCTCCAATTACTCCATTTTCTCCTCACCTTCTTTCTCATTATGTGAGGACATTTGCTAATGTGTATATTTGGCCACGATTTCTTTCTGATTCATGGGGGTTTTTATGTATTTGCTTGTTGGAGTCACTAACATACGTGTAATGGCTTCGATGGGTAGCCCCAATCATTTCGTTTCCGTCGCCCTGGCGATCTCAGATCTGCTTTGATTTAAAATCATGTAGCATTAATTAAGTATGTTGAGTCATCTCTGGGAAGAGTTCACTTGAGAGCCAAACAACAACATCATCCAATAATTGAGGGCTTGTTAACGATTTCCAGCTTAAAGCCAACAAGCCTTGTGAATTACAGTGGCCTGGTGAGGGGGCCAGGTGCCTGTGTGGCATTGTCTAGTGTCCTAGGCTGTCTCTGGTGGCCTTCCCATCTTTGAATAAAGGAAGAAAAATTTGTTGGAGACAGGGGTAATTTTTTTTAAGCCAAGTCATACTAAAGATCCCAATGCCTTCTTAATATATCGCTAGTTATACAAAGCAGTCTTACTTTAGGTTTGCCGGTAAACACACTGGAATCCTGGCTTCTAGGCTGGGCTTTTCCAATGACTCTGCGACTTGTCTAGTTACTTCCCCTTCCTGAGTTTTATTTTCCTTATGTAATCATCTCTAAAGAGATTTTGTTTGGAATAACACGGAGGATGACATTGTAGTGTTTGTGATACTAGTAAATATTTGGGTAATTGTTTTACGTAGCCAAAGTTGTATTTGTTGGTAAAAGTTGTGGAGTAAAGCCACTGGATGTTTTGTCAACATAGGGATAAATGTTAACTTCTCCGATTAAAAACATATTTAAAAGGTGCATTGCATTGGGATCATTTTTTTTTTATTTTATCAATAACTAAGTTTCGATATAGATTGCTGCTTTCTTTATGTCTAGTTTAAAATGGGACTACTGTATTTCTGTGAACATGAGTAGCTTAGGCCAGGTCATCAGGCTTAGACTTAAACTCCCTTCCCTTGCCGTGGCTGCCCCCCGCACCCTCCCCCCCGTCCTTGATCTTGGTGATTGCTGAGAGACATAGAGAGTGGGGATGGTTTAGTGACAATCCAGTCCTGCTGCTGGGAAACCAATTCTAGATGCAGGCTTGCCCACCTGAATGGTTAGTCAACAGAACACCTTTTATAACAGGCCCTAGTACTTCCATAAATTGTGCTCCTAACTATCATCTCACCCCTAAGGTCACTTTTTCTTGTCCCTTCCATGTCTCTGAGTATGCCACCTGCCAGTGTCTGTGTGTCTGGATGTGTGGATTTGCGTGCGTGCACTCTTCTTCTCCCAACTTTCGGCCAGTCCTGTGGGACTTTGGAATTCCCGAGTAGGTGGGCTGGATGATCAAGGCCAAGGGCACTGGCTGTGTGTGTGCAATTTCCCGGCAGAGGCCCACCCCTCGGTAGCTCTGGTCATGGGGCTCAGCAACCTTTCTCAGAGCACGGGCCTCACGGTCCAGAGATCAACCAGGAGCCACTCTTACCATCTTGAATTTCTGAAACTGGAGGAGGCTTTGTGTAAATCCGTTGTCTACCTCAGCACTGGAGTCATCTGCCTACCTCCAAGATTGGATAAATCTAATATTGGGGAGGGTAGCAGGGGTCATTGAATACATGTGGACCAATGGTTCAAATGAACAGAAGAAGTGGTTTTCAAAAGAGAGCGGTCATGTGCAAGAAGGAAATGCACTAGAAGGGGGAAAATGGCAGAAAACATTAGACTAAGCCAAGGAGAGAAGAATCGCATTCTTTTTTCCTGTTTTGATGAGCTGGCTTCTTCACGAGCCTCCTCTCCCTTCCATAGAGCTGATGCTCCATGGAAACTTTGCATCCTTACCCCTTTTTTAAGAGAAATACAATTAAGGTGCCCACCTGCCCTAGTGCTGGGGTCCTGTGGCAAGTCCCCTGTCCATCCTGTTGCTGTCATTGCACATACAGCCACTGTCCTACTTGAGGGAGCCCTGGGAATAAATGGATTTGATGTAATAGTTTTAATTTTTCATGCAGAATATCCTCAAATTCAAAGATTTGATAGACCCGTGTGAGGTGTTGCCTGTACACCGTCACTTTTGCTAGACTGACTTTTTTTCTGTTTTGCCTGAATTGACTGATGTTTGGGGCATTGAGCAGAGACGGCCTGAGACCCAAAGCCGAGCCATTAACTCCCAGATGTTCACAATTTCCAAGGAAATGTTCTATGCCTGTGGTTATTACTCGCATGGCTCCTTAAACGCTCTCATCTTGGCACCCTTTGCACTTGCTGAATTCAATCTGAAGGAAGAACAGGAGAGCGAGAATTTTGTGGAAAGCAATTATCTTGCACTTTTGTGACCTTCATGCTTTCCCATCGTGATGAATTTGGGGGCTGGTTCTTGTATCAGTCAGCATGTCACTTTTATTAGAATTTTGTTGTATGTTACAGATAACCAGTTGTATCTAATTAAACAATAATGATGGCAGCGCAAGGCATTTTCTGGGAATTAATGACCAGCTGGGAAAAGCTGATGGCCAGAGAGTCAGCGAAAGGCTATTAGCTTCAGTCTGCCATTCATCTCCGGAAATGCCCATTTGTGACGTCATTGTTGGTACTGAAACATGATCGTGGGAGACAATGTACTAATGTCTATCAAGTGCTTCTGAATGACAAGTTCCCCGTGTATTATCAAAAAGTTGTTGTCTTCTTCTCACTGCTCCAATTGTCCTTTGATCTTAAAACAACGTCTCTTATGTACGGCGCATGAGAATGGAATTTCTCAGCTTCTGTATAATCATGGGAGTTTCTTTTTTTAAAGGGCTCCAAGTTTGGGAGGTTTCCTTTAAATATTTTGGGTGGTAAAACCAGAATCGGTCTTCAGCTGTGATGCTGGAATTTGATAAGTGTCTATATTATCATAACTATCTGCTCATAGCAGGAAATGGCTGCAAATGTTTTGAATAGCAGCTGTTGCTAGCAAAGATGTGCATTTCACAACGAGATTCTATGGAGTTATAGTCACATTCCTAGTAGATGAAGGGAACTCTCTGCCAGGAAAACTGTGAGGGTGTGCCTATACAATATTTTTGATTACTGCTGCTGAATGCTAGAGGAAAATAGAGAGCTGACTAAAATATTCATCACCTTCGTGCATAATTCAATGACTTATAAAGGAAGACAACGGTTCCACACACAAGCCATCTATCAAGAACTTGTTCTAAACTCATAATGCTAATTTGACAGTTTTGTTGGTTTTGATACCATTTTTACCCGAACATGAAAGTAAGTTCTTAAAGGTCATTAAAATCCCAACCGGTAACGAGCCGGGAGCGTTTTGCCAAACACAGAAGCTTCAGGTCCCACCTAATGTCAACCGTAGGCTGTTTGTAGTTTACAAACACCGCAGCATGAATCTCCCGATAGGAAGCTTGCTGGTGATACAGGTCCTTCTAAATGCATGCTAAGTGTATGCATTTGGGGGAGTAGAATGAGTCAGCCTGCCATTAATCACAGCTTTAGAGGCACTGACTCACTCCTGGCAAAATGGAATGGCCTCACTGGGAAGGGTGTGAAAGAGGAAAAAAAAAATCCACTCTGGGGTCAGTTCCCCGTTTCTGCCAACACGGATCAAATTTGCACCCCCTTGGGTGGGCGGTTTGGGGGCTCAAGAATGCTGCGGTAGACCCCGTAAAAGCGGACCCTGTGTTTTTTTTTTCTGGGAGAGGGTGCTAGACGTTCACGGTCTTGGCTTGGGAAATGCAGAAAGGGTCTGGAAAGAAAGGGGGAGCCGAGAGGGGCTTGGTGTAGACCTAAGGCCAAAATTAGTGAACCGGGTCCTGGCCTTCTAGCTCCTCAACCAGGTAGGTCTTTGATCCAGATCCACTGTTGGGTGTCAGGCTCGCCACTGGAACCCCTTGTGTTCGTGAAGGGGTTCTGAAGGTCTGAAGAGTATTTGCAACAGCCCCGGTTCTCTTTGCAAATCAAAGGTTAAATAAAGCAGCGCCCTCGAATCTTCTGTCCGGCCCGGTGTATGTTGCACTTGAAGCCAGCCAGGTTCTCCGAGGAAGGAAGCATAAAGGAATGCGCTGATAATTGCTGGACATCACCCGCAAATGTCTATGTTGTATCTGAACTCGAAACAGAGGGATGGGTAGTTGAGTCAGGGCTTTGTTATTTTCAAGCCAGCCCCTAAAAAAGAGCCACTAGCGAGCTGTTACACGGTTTTCTTTGCAACTTTTCTCAGGAATGTTGTTTCTTTAGTCTTCCCTGGGAGTAGATGTGATTTAAGACGTTCGCTGCTTTCTTGAAGCTCTAACTTGAGTTCATTTTGTTATGTGGTGACCACAGTTCTGGATGACGCCCCCCCTGGCACACAGGAATACATTATGTTACGGCAAGATTCCATCCAATCTGCGGAATTAAAGAAAAAAGAGTCCCCCTTTCGTGCTAAGTGTCACGAAATCTTCTGCTGCCCGCTGAAGCAAGTACACCACAAAGAAAACACAGAGCCCGAAGGTTTGTGCACGACGGACGCGTGTTTTGCTTGTTTTCTCTCGTTCTTCTTTCTTTCTCTCTCTTTTCTTTGACTGTGCATTGCCCCCCTGGTGTGCTGTATGTTGTTCGGCCCCTGACATGGTTAGGAGGCCCCTGGCTCCCCGGTGACTGTGTTATGCAGGCTCAGATGGGACGCTGTATAACACAGTCATCCCTGGCACAGCGCGCGGGCAGCCCCCTGCTTCTCATAGCCCAAAGCGTTTTCCGCTGCTGTCCTGACATTGCCCCATTTTGGCTGCTGAAGTCGCTTGCTCCTGTAGCCAACATCTGGCCACGTCTGTTCCCATCACCTTGCATTCCTGAAACAGCAGTCGGCTGAGGAATGATGCTTCCAAAATGAAATCGTGAGAGGATTGTCCCAAATTTTCTAAGTCTCCTCCACTCCATACGGCTTCTGCATTGCGCTCGAAGAATGCTCATCATCTACTTAGTTTGCCATCGTGAAATGCATGCCTCAAGGAAACTATGAGTAGTTTGTTTTTCCTTTCAGCTCGAGTACAGGTTTGGAAAAGTCCACTTGCCGTAACGTAAACTGAGGTCAATAGCGTGTTCACCGCAATCCGTGCTACAAATCTCTCTCTAAAGTACCTCGTCGGTCTAGAAAGAGCATTCGCACCTTC